TGCTGCTCATGCCCCATTCAGGCCCTTCACTCTGTGGCATCCCTCGTATATACCTGCCAGGTGGGTGTGGACTACAGAGCCAAGTGAGTAGAATATGTAAGCGTGATTGATCTGAAACTGTCTATACTGCTAGGATTGCCGTAACCCAGACTCGCTTTGCTGTAGCTGGCTTCACCACCTTGCCACAACTCAGAGACCCACTCTGGATGCCTGAACCGCACTCTCAGTCTAGCAGTGGAAACATTCCGTTTTGCCCTAGTAGAGGATAAATCGATGTGGCCGAGCAGATAGGTCTTTCTCTGGCCCAAGTCTCCTCTCCCTTTAGCCATAATCGCCTCCCTGGGTTGGCTTCTGTGTATGCAGAGCCAGACCTCTACTCTTCCTCCGCGCCCCACAAGCATCGCCTCTGTTCTCATGTCTGTCTGCTCCCTTGTAGGCTGTACCACATCACACTCTGGACCTTCCTCCTCGCCCTGGGCCACTTCCTCTCCGAGCTGTTTGTCTTTGGGACCGCAGCTCCCACGATTGGCGTCCTGGCACCCCTGATGGTGGCAAGTAAGCATCCGAGCACCCCAGACCTCCCGCAGGAACTGCACCCTCGGGCTGGGGCAGAGGGCAGACACACAAGGGTGTAAGAAAGTGCCGTGCCTGTGTCAGCCACGAACCTTTTCTCTGTGTTGAAGGTTTCTCGATCCTGGGTATGCTAGTTGGGCTTCGGTACCTAGAAGTAGAACCAGTATCCAGACAGAAGAAGAGAAACTGAGGCCAACGTTACCAGCTCCAAGACTCCATCCTCCACCTTTGCTGTCCCCTACCTTTATCCTCCCTCCTCTTTTAGTTCTTCTTTTCTGCACCATCCTGAGCCCTCTGACCCCCTGCTAGCCTTTTACGTTTGGGGTTTTTCTTTAATAATGTTTACGATACCGTATAACTTTCATATGATGTGTACGAACAATTTAAAGAATCATTTTAAGGTGGATACCCCATACCTTCCCCCAGACCAAGAAATTGCCAGCACCTTCGAAACCCACTGTGTGCCCTTCCTTCACCAGCAGCCTCTTCTTCCAGGACCCTTTTCCAGCCTTCTGCTTTTTTCCTTTTATTTTCATCCCTTCATCTGACTTGCGTGGTGGGAACACGTGAACTGTGAAACTTACAGCTGCTGCCTTGCCCAGAGCAGCAGCCTCCAAGGGCTGCTTCGGGGTTGCCCTCCCAGGTCGGGCTCCTCTCTGCTGCTGGACCCGAGACTCTGAACCATCCGAGAAATGGGCAGTTCTTCTAAGAAGGGCTCCCCTGTGAGTGAGCATGGCTCATATCCTTGTGTCTACAAGTGGATCGGGGTTGGAAGAGTCTGGGCTGTTTTTAGACCTTCTGGTCAGCTGTATTTGTGTAACGAATTTTGTAGTAAATAGAAAAACCCTGTGCTTGGATCAGTCCTTGTACTTTGACCTTCCCTAAGCCAGGAGCACTCCTGCCCTCCTCTGAGCTGTAGCAGAGGAGAATCGCAGCATTTTGTGGATCAAATACACCATAATGAGTAGGACAGCTCAAGGACCCAGGCACACCTGGCTGCCGCTGGTGCGTCTGGTCACTTGTTCATTTCTCCTGAAGTCCAGTCTGCCTCTCCTTCCCCACCTTCAAGATTCTGTGTTCACAATTGAACGGTCAGGAGGACCCTTTCTTGTTTTCTTTCTAAGGAAGAAACAGTTTCTTGAGAAAGCAGAGTCAGAAAATAGCATGGAAGGAACAGCTGCCTAACCATGGAAAGGAGAGCTTGAAACCCCAATGATAATGGGCTGGAGCAGGTAGTTGCCCTCCAAACAGAATTCTGAGGGGCTCCTCACTGGCGGGGCCCACACGCAGTGTGTAGACTCAAGAACCCATTCATTACATCAACAAAGTATTTATTGAACATTTAACTCCAGGCCAGACACTTGAGAAAGAGAAATGATGTCCCAGGCAATGTCCCTGTTCCTGTGGCCCTTGCAGTGAAGTCAAGGTAATGGATAATCAATAAAGTAACACACGAAAACAACTTCAGACGCTAAGAACTCTAGAATACAACGTTTTAGGGCGCTGGGTGGCTCAGTCGGTTAAGCGGCCGAGTTCAGCTCAGGTCATGATCTCACAGTTTGTGGGTTCGAGCCCCACATCGGGCTCTGTGCTGACAGCTCAGAGCCTGGAGCCTGCTTCCAATTCTGTGTTTTCCTCTCTCTCTCTGCCCCTCCCCAGCTCGCACTCTGTCTCTGTCTCTCTCAAAAATAAAATAAACGTCAAAAAAAAAAATTTAGAATACAAAGTTTTATGATCAAGAAGGTAGGGGGTGCACAGTTCAGATTATCAGGAAAGGACTCCCTGAGGGGATGGGATTTGAGCTGAGCCTTGAATGCCCAGGCATTAGATGTCTTCATATAGGAGGCAGACATTTAGGGCAGAGGGAACAGCATCTGGAAGGTAGGAACCATCTTGTTGAAGGAGTAAAAACCAAGTAGAGAAGTTGGGAAGAGAAAGGTGAGCGCTCAGGGAGGCAGGGGACTTGCAAAGGCAGGATAGGAAGCTTAAAGTTAAATACTTTAAGCTTAATAAATACTTAAATGCACTGGGAATTCTCTATCAGTTAAGGCTTTTTAGGTGAAAAGAACAAAACTGTCTTAAACTAGCTTAAACAATAAAGATAACATTGGCTCACAAAATTGAAAAGTTCAGTGGATTATAGGCTTCAGGAATGGTTTGATCTGACTCCACTCTGCCCTCCTGTGTTGGTTTCATCCTCAGGCTGGCTTCCTTTATGGTGCCAAAAGCGGTTGCAGCAATACCAGGCCTCACATGCCAACACTACGTCTAGAAAAATAGTTCAGGGATACAGACTATCCCTCCCTCACCAACTACTGTTAAGGAGGTAGTAAAAGCAATGATTTTGCAGAGTTTGCATGTAAGTGTAGATCCACATGGAGCCCACCTAAGAAAGTGAATTGAAAACATGCATGAGTTGGATGCGGATCCTCTGAGCATACGTCATAGAAATGTGATTCCAGATGAGCAAAGACAAGATCCCAACGGATCCAAAGAGACGATTTAGAGTAGTTGGAAGATATTCTGAATATTCTATTTCTTTAACCGCCCGTCTTGGCTCCCTTCCGAGATGATTTAAAGTAGAATCCGTAATGTCTCTCCAGCTAAGAACTGCTAACAGATAATGGTCCCAGAATGCCACAGACACAGTGCAATTTCCAGGAAAGAAATGCACAGAAAGCCAATAGCAGCATGTCCAGATCACAGTACGGGGTGAACGCACCTGGGAAGGGAGAAGTGGTAGTTGGCCGGACAGATCAGAAGAAAAGTGCAGCACCACAGCAGATGCCGAAAGCGTGGACTCTGACCAGGGCAGGATGGTACAGTCCTAGAACAAATACTTCGGCCACGCTTTGAGGCAGAGCCAGAAACCACAGTGGGCTCTGTATCAGTGGTTACCCCGAGTGGACCGTCTGCAAATATACACAGCACAGAAGGCGGTCAGGGTCACGTGCTGGGCGCCGGGTTGCCAGGCACCACGTGGGCCAACGTTCACTTTTACTGCCTCGTCTTTAAAAAGTAACCCACTGGGATGGTAACATCTGCGTAAACAGAGGACCCACCTCTGCAGAAGGCCACAGGAGCTGCTCCTCTAGCCCCAGCCCCTCCCGCACCGGAAATGGGCAAGACTCTCGTTTTTGTGCCAAAAGGCACCTCCACCCCCACCTGATGACAAGGCAGACCACTCGGAGAATCTTTTATTGCCTTAAAACATCTGGCATTACAAACAGAAAATACAAATTATGTTCTTAAAATAAAGGAACGAATGGATCTGGTAAACATTCTGTTAAAGAGTTTGAAGAAGCTGAAGAGTAAGCACCTTTCTCCTTATCAAAAGTAAGACACGCTTTCTCTCCACTTCGCTTCCACCCCCAGTCACTCCCCCCACCAGAAGTGTGAACTTCTTCTATTACCCAGAACGTACACACACACACACACACACACACACACACCTACCTGGCTCCCCTCAGGCAGTGGCCCGGGCACCCCGGCACTGCTGCCAACCGACCCAGGCTGCTCCCGTTTGCCAAGGCTGGGGCAGTGGCCACAGCGAAAGAGCACCATGGTCATGATCACAGCTGTTCACCATGCAGGAGAAATTACTGAAATGTCTTATTTTCAGGGGACACCACCCAAGGCCATGAGTAGAGCCAGACAGCAGGCTGGAGAGGCAGGAGAGGAAGTCACCTTGGGTTGGTTTAAAGGGACTCCCTTTAAATTCACAATATCTGGGGGCGCCTGGGTGGCGCAGTCGGTTAAGCGTCCGGCTTCAGCCAGGTCACGATCTCGCGGTCCGTGAGTTCGAGCCCCGCGTCAGGCTCTGGGCTGATGGCTCGGAGCCTGGAGCCTGCTTCCGATTCTGTGTCTCCCTCTCTCTCTGCCCCTCCCCCGTTCATGCTCTGTCTCTCTCTGTCCCAAAAATAAATAAAAATGTTGAAAAAAAATTAAAAAAAAAATAAATTCACAATATCTGATTTAAAAAAAGATTACTGCTGGAAGAGGGCAGGAAGAGGGGGTGGGTGTAAGAATACTGTCCCCTCCGGAGGCAGGTGCACTTAATTCAAGCAGACTCACTTCCCATTTCAAGGGCCAGCTTTCCTTCTGCCCCTTTCCTCTCATCTCGCAGAAGCAGCTGTGGATTTCTCAGTGTGGGATGAATCAAGGTTAGCTCTCAGTAAAGGTTACAGGAAGTTGGCTGGGATTTCCCTCCCTTCAGAGAAAGCAAGTGCAGAGGCTGATGGAGTTTCTCAAGGTAGTGTCCACATGAAGGCATCAGAGGTGACTGTGACCCACACGGAAGTCCCTGGGCAGAGACTCTGTAGAAAAGAACTTAGTCCCAAATCAAGCTACCACGGTCCCCAACTGCCTTCACAGGTGCCCTCACACACCTAGGCAGCTCACTCTCCCAAATGGGTTTCTCCTTCATGGCCACAGCAAAATTTCTGTCAAGTTTATTGATGTTTGCTTTGATCAGCTCTTAGGAAAGGGTTTGGAAGCAGACCCCAACCTCAGGCCAGGAGAAAGAAGGCCGAGTCCTGACGGCTTCGTTCTGATGCAGTTTTTTTCTTATGGTGCTTTTTCCCACAGAACATCAGCAGCTGGGCCGGTGACCCCCAAATTCCCCTCATCCGGAGCAGCTGCCTCTCCTTAGGACTGGGCTTCTAAGGGTCTTAAGACACTAGAAAAAGTTAGTATCCTGAATAAGCTTCCTTTCCACGCTAATTTCGCAGGCTCTCTCTTTGCAGGATGGAGGGGAAGGGGGAAGACAGGGCAGCACCGTTCTCCACCAGCCTCTCTCAACACCAGCTCCCATAACCCACGAGGGGGAGGGGGCGGGAATGGGGTGTGCATTTGGTGAAAGGTGCCATCGTCCCCAACCAGACCATGCAAGCTCTTGAATGGGTTCCAGGAGGCAGAGGCACCGCCATCCAAGCCACAGATATTCCAGCCGGTTCCCTCCAAAAGCTGCTCCGGTGAAGACCTGTGTGCTGGCAGTGAATGCTGACCGAAGAGGCGGGGGGGGGGGGGGGCGGGGGGCGGTGCTGTCGGTGTTCCCTGAGTCGCCACCACCTTCTTCTCTCAGAAGTGCTCCTCAGACACAATGGTGGGTACTTTGTTGGCATTGTTCTCCTCCTCCTCCTCCTCCCCCTCCTCCTGGAGTTTCTGCAAGGCAAAACAAGCAGGCAACCCTGTGGGTGAAGAGGGGCAAGACTCCACCTGGGCCGGAGCGACTGCCTGTTAGTGACCATAATCAGTGGCAAAGTGGGAAAACCAAGAGCCAGAGGCCCCTCGGCGGCCCCAAGAGTAAACAAAGGGAAGAAAAGCAACCAGTCCTTGCCAGCGTGCCCTTTAAACACACACCATCACAGCATCCTCAAAGAAAAAAGCCAAGAAAGCCATCTCTCTCTGATGCCACAGCGACCACAAACCATCCTGGTCCAAGTGCCATTCCAGGCTCCCTCTCAGGAATGAAATAGCAGAGCCCGCTCTCCTCCCCATTCTGACAGCCTAAAACTCATCTGGACTGGCCACCAAGGAGCTATCCAAAGTGCAGGGTCTGCAACTCCCACGGAATTTCTGACTACCTTCCTTTGGAGGCAGCCCCCAGGACGAGGAGTATTAGGATAATGTGCAGGGGATGGATGCATCGAAGAGAATCTGTATAAAGGCAGGATGCATATAAACTCACTGGCTAAAAATATCTCTATGCCCTTTATACCTAGAGAAGAAGACTTGGGGTCAGTGCGGCTTTGACTTTCTCGGGGAAAGGATGTGAGGTGGGGTTGGAACTAAGTATGGCCTGGAAGTCACCTGTGGGGTCCCTAAGTCCATGCGGTGCCTTGCTTCTTACCTCGAGTGTGCATCCAGTTAGGGAGAAGACCTTGGCACAGGCCCAGCCCTGCCCCACCACCATTCAAGAGCCAGAGGAACATCTACAGGCCCAGCTAGAGTCCAGTGCCAACTGGACAAATGGTGCTTCTCCCCCAGGGACCGTCTTGAGGCTAACGTACCGTCAACAGCTGTAGAAACCCAACGTCCCCATTCTCACTTGCTAATTTTTGGGCCCCAGGTCAACCTCAGCCATGAGTAGCCTTCGTTCAGGCAACCAGCAGCCTGCTTAAGTCAACCAGGCAGCCTCTCTCCTCTCGCGGACACACACGTGTGTGCCCACACATGCCTGCCCTCTCCAAAGCTGGCACTTTGAAATCACAACCAGAAACCCAGCTTAGTGGGGACAGAAGTACAGCCACCGTCTGTTGGCTGAGAACTACCAACTGGAAGAAAAATGGAAACCCAAACCAAGATTTTCATCATCGAGGTTAGTCATTAGCCCCAAGCCAGTTCTGTCTCTTTTTTCCAAAACTGTACATCTCATAGGTTAGAAAGAGCAGCTCTGGCCACATCTGCTGGGCGCCCTGTCTTTTTACCTGGCTCTGATGATGAATTCATGTGGCGGTGGCCGGGTCTCACTTACACTGACTGCCGTTGGGTTTTAGTGTTGGGCTCCAGTGGAGGGATGCTCTGTAACAGCCCTGGCTTCCCTGGGTGTCAGCCCACCATGACTCTGACCTTCCCATACCAATAAGCCTCCTCAGGTGCAAGTGAGGTCCAAAGATGCATGGTGAGTTATCCAGGGACACAGACGGTTAAGCACGATCCCCAGATTTGTCTCCTCTTCCTACTCAGTGCTATTTCCAATACCCCATCCAGAAGGTGAGTAAGCCAACAACTCCAACCTCGATTAACAAACCTGGTCTATGTGCACCAAGATGCCACTGCAAGAATAATGAAATAGTGGAACAACCTAAGTATTAAACAAGAGGAAAGGGAAATAGAGAGTTGTAGGATGTAACTGGGGGAAAGTTGACAAGCTAACATTAAGTAAACAATCAGTTTGGGAAACCAATATGCACAAGCAAACCCAAAGAAAACAACTTTAACAACGGACTATAATGTTACTAGGTTATCTCCGGGTGCTAGGATTAACAGGTGACCTTTTCTTTCCTCATGTTTGCCCATGTCTGCCAACATAAACACAGATTACGGAGGAAACAAAATCTCTTATCACTTGACACAATATGTCACATTCCAAATTAAAACCTTCTCCCAAGAAATCTCTCCTGTTTTGTTACCGGCTCTCCTTTTTTATTACCCAGGCTCACTATATATTCACCAAAATGTTCCAAACCATCGTTTCCTTTACATGGGCAGAGGTGAAAGCCCATCTCTGCCGTGGCAATGCCACAGCCCTCACGCCAGTCTGGAGAATGGCATTTCTGCTCCAAGTCTTTCCCTGCCTCCCCGCTGAATTTACTGCTCCCTGCTGCAGCCTGCCAACTCTACAGCGTGATATCAGAAGACAAATAATAGAGAACTAAAGGTTATCATCTATCTGCCAGCACATATCCTTACAACGCTAACTATACCTCTTTCAGATACCATTTTTTGCTTTGAAAAATTGGCAAAGTTTTCCAAAACGATATATCCTCAACATTGGTACTCATACACTGCTATAGCAATACAAATTGACAGTTTTGATAGTACCTTTCTAGACACCAGTTTGGCAACACGTATCGAGGTCTTTAAAATGTGCGTGACCATGGATCCATTTCTCAAGGAAACACTGTGCTTAAGAACACGCGCAAAGATTCAGCCTCCGGGACGTTACTCACGATATTGTTTATAACAATGATTGGAAACAACCTTGATGTCTACAGACAGGAAAACTGTTAAATCATGGTTTACCCATGTGCGCTCATTTAAACACTGTGCAGTCATTTAAAGCATGTTATAGGGGCGCCTGGCTGGCTCAGTCGATCGAGCGTCTGACTCTTGGTTTTGGTTCAGGTCATGACCTCACAGTTAGTGAGTCTGAGCCCTGTGTCGGGCTCTGCGCTGACAACATGGGCCCTGCTTGGGATTCTCTGTCTCCCTCTCTCTCTGCCCCTTCCCTGCTTGGGCACGCACTCTCTTTCAAAAATAAACATTAAAGAAAAAGAAACTTGAAGACAAAAAAAAAGTGTATTGTAAAAGAATAATGACCAGATAAAGTGTTCACAAGTAAAAAAAAGCGATAGAAGATTCCATTTTTCTTTTAAAAATATTCACATATCCATATATAAATATAAAATATATACACATACATATTCTACGTAGATATAAACATTTAAGTAATTGTAAAACAACCAGCATTTCATCTCTAGGTGATAATACAGGATGATTTTTAAATTTTGTATGCGTTTCTGTATTTTTTAGTTTTTCTACTAAGAACATGTATTACTTCTGTAATAGATTTTGGATGTTTATTTGTTTTTTAAGTAATATCCCACTTTTACTCCTCAGATTTGAAATCGCTTTCATCCTGGCTCAGATCTGATACCTAACATTTTGGTTAAAATAGTTCCCAGCTGGGGCGCCTGGGTGGCTCAGTCGGTTAAGCATCCGACTTCAGCTCAGGTCACGATCTCACAGTCTGTGAGTTCGAGCCCCGCGTCGGGCTCTGGGCTGATGGCTCAGAGCCTGGAGCCTGCTTCCGATTCTGTGTCTCCCTCTCTCTCTGCCCCTCCCCCATTCATGCTCTGTCTCTCTCGGTCTCAAAAATAAATAAAAACGTTAAAAAAAAAAAAAAATAGTTCCCAGCTGATTAAAGCAGTTGGGAAACCCTCTTCTGTTCTAGATCATACTCACTCCTCCCCCTATATCACCATCAGCTCTTGCTTCCTGACTTCTCCTGTTAGAGCCTGACTGCAAGTCCACTGGTGCAGGTCCCTTCATCCCCATGGCACTGCCTAAGGGGCTGTAGCCTGCCGGAAGAGCCACTGATTTGAGTCCACCACCACTGTGGTCGAGGTAGGCTCCCACCTTTCCTCTCCAGCCACTGACCCCAAGGCTGAAAGCAGTGGAGCCAGGGTCTCAGGACTTGTCTCAGGATCCAAGGAGTGGGCGCTGCTCAGTGGACTGTGACAACAGTGACGTGCTCTGGGGACCACAGCAGGGAGGCCAGGAGAAGGGAAGGAAGCAGAAGAAGAGTCCGGGAAAGAACAGCACAAAAACCGTGCTGAAACACCCACCAAGGAAACTCTTGGGCACCATGTTTATGCGAACTGAGCTGATCTCACAGCATCCAGAGAACCAGCCCACTCTGGGAGCCCCCTGGGCCCACCCATGCTGCCACATCCTCAAACAAAGCTTGGGACCCAGCTCTCAGCAAAGCAAGCTCCCACATACTCACATTCTCAGGAGTTTCTCTGTTTGCTTTCTGCCTCCGGAGATCTGCCCTAATGAATGCTGAGGTCAAGGGATTGAAAAAGAACAACAACAGAGACACAAGAGTTATTAAAGAGACCAATGGTCAAGTTCACCCAAGAAAGGGAGCCCTCCTTTTCCTAAGGGTCACCTACTTCAGATATTCCAGGGAAATGGGGGTTCCACCTGCCAACTTGATAAAGCCTGGGGATCACTGATGTCCCTGACAGGCAGAAGCCAATGATGAAATTGGCCTTCATTTATAGATCACTAATATTTGCCAGGGAGTTTGCACACATTGCTCTAATCTTCACAACAACCCCCATTTTATAGATTAGGAAAGTGAGCCTTCCAGAAGTTCGTCCACTTGCCCACGGTCAAACAGCTATGGAGGTCAGTGTCATAGTCTGGGATGCAAACAAGGGTCTTTTGGTACCAAAACCCAGGCTCATTCCACTAAAAACAGGCCTCTCAAACATATTTCCTAACAAGCCTTCCCTTCTGCCCCTCTGCATGTGTATCCCCCAATCTGTATGATCAGTCAAAACACTGAGGTCTCAAATTGCCAACAGCCTAAGCCCATGAGCAGCCCGAGCATCATCCTGTTCTGAGGCCCCAACTCACCAGTGAGGACTGCTCCAAGGGTGAGGAACACACACAGAAAGATGTTCCCGGGCATGGTTCCATAGTTGTCAATAATTTGACCCTGGGAGATGGTGAAGATGATCCCGAATACCTGGAAAGGCACCAAGAAGACTGGAAACAAGGGCCCAGCCAACTAGCCCACAGAAGAACTGAGCCGCCATGATGCAATGCCTGTGACAGCCAAGTCAGGTAGGGAACAAAGAGCCACTGCTTTGGGGCCGCCACCAAATAAGAGCCTTACCTGGGCAGACACGTTAAGGAGGCCAGACGACATGCCTTCTGATTCTGGGTATGTCAGTTCCACAGCAAACTCAAATCCCAGGGGGAGGTAGCCGGTCATGAAGAAGCTGAAAGCCGATCACAGAAACAAGGTGATGGAGAACTTCAAGGACAAGGAGGAGAAGAAGCCCACCTCCCTTAGAACTCCTTTTCCTGTTTCATTTCTTGCCATCAAGACTTTTCAGGCCTTTGAATAATCAGGCCATCCCCCAGATGGTCATACCAAGGAAAGAGATACCCCTGTAGGTCAGGAAGAAGTTCATATGTAGGCTTCATGCTCCTGAGGCTCCTGGAGTCCCCTGCTTCCTCTAGTTCCAGCCATCAGTTAAAGACAAGGTCAATGTTTACAGAAGGGATGGGGATGCCTGCAGTGTTCAGCCCTCAGCTGAGAAATTCTGTGTCAAAGGTCCATAAGCCCTGTGCTGGGAGTGGGAAGTCCCTGGACACTGAACAGCATCTCCATGGCTCTTGAGACCTAGAAGGAGGAGCTCAGAATCCTCCTTTATCCCTCTGGAGAGTCGCCTGCTGAGAAAGACTGGGTGTCTGTCTCTGTCACCATCTCTCTCTCTCTCTCTCTCTCTCTCTCTCTCTCTCACACACACACACACACACACACACACACACACACACACACACACAGGAAAATATCTGGGATGTGAGGCTAAGCAGAGATCCCTGTGGAAGGTGTGCTGTTTCCTAGGCTTCCTCATATAACAGGTCTGGAAAATTCCAATTCTAATTTCTTACACCTGCACCACACTTCATGCTGCTTTCACATCTATTTCTCTCTCGCTCCTTGCAACAACTCTACAAGACAGGCCACTCTCATCTTCTTTTAAAGATGCAGAAACTGAGGCTCAGAGCAGTTCAGTGATGTACCTGTCATCAGTCAGCGGCAGAATTGAGACAAGGCCCCGGCTTTCTGATCCCTAGCCCTGTGTACTTTCTATGACTCCACATTGTCCCAGGCAGAGCTAAAAGAGACTCCGAACATTTCCTAGCCTCTGTGAGGTCTGTGAAGGACAAACTCCATCCCAATAGCATGGAAGCCCTATTAGACAGCCTTTTGCAGTACTACACATTAACAAGGCCTCTGGGCAAGATTTCCACATCTCCAGAGGTCAATGAGAAGTCAGCAAAGAGATCAGTGTTGCTTCCAGGATGTCGGCACCTCTAGGAGCCATGGGATGCTGCTTCCCAGTTAAACAGTTTAGAGGTGAAACTTACCCCATTGTGCCAGCAGTGATGAACAAGACCCACAGGTGTCCCAGGTTCAAGGTCAATGTGTACACCACCATGCCAACCACAGTCATGATGTAGACCACCAGGGTTGTCTCCCTACAAGCAGAGGCAAAGAAATGGAGTCATACACTTCTGACCTTAACAGGATCATTCATTCATTCATTTACTCATTGTATAAGTAGCAACTGGGGACCTGCTGTGTGTCAAGCCCTCTGCTGTGTGCTGGGACATCTGCTCTCGCAGAACTTTCTGTCCATGAGGTTGATGGGCACTGAACCGGTGATCACACAAATAGTCACTTAATTACACCATGGCCACTGCTACAAAGGGTAAGACCAGAAGAGTATGAAGCCACCTTGCTGCATGTGTGTTCTCCGCCTGCAGAACCCGCTCAACAAGATCAAGCTGCCCCACAAGCAAGAAGGACACAACCCTTTCCTTTCCTCATCCTTCACCAAAACTACGGAACAAACATCAGCGGTGGTCAGGCAGCAGTGGCGTGCAGCACTATCCCCAGAAGCTACCCAACTCTGCTTATCCGCTTTGCCCCAAGACCCCATCACAATGCTGGGCAGCGATCTGCCGTTTAGAGTCTGTCTGTCATCTCGAAGTTCTTCCTGTTGCCACTCGCTTGTCTGAACTAAGTGCTTGTCTCCAAAGTCAGAGTGAGAAAGCTCTGCCCACTCCCCATTTCCCTTTGTCAGCCCCCCCCAGAAGGACCATTGGCAACCTGCTGCTGCTTCTTTAGGGCTCACCCTGCTTGTGTCCCTCCCACGCTTTTTCTCCCATGATGCCCACTCATGACTCTAGCAGCCCTGACTCCTGCAGCTGGCCCCGCGTTCCTCTCCCTGTCCTGCTTCTGCACATCCCTCTGCCTCCTGCCACGAAAATGAGGACTCAAGACAATGAAAGCTTACAGCCTTCACTCGTCTCCCCTGAAGCCAGAAACACGGTGGGGATGCCAGCAGATGTATGCTACAGTCATACCAAACTAATGCTGCATTTATTGGGTGCCAGGAATTCTGCTCAGCACTTCACCTGCATTTATTATTTCACTCAAGCCTTACAGAAGCCCTGCAGGAAATGTAGGACTATCCCTAATTTTACAAATAAGGACACTGACGCTCCGACCAGTTAAGTTACTTATTCGAAGTCACCCCCTGAGTAAATGCAGAGCTGGCATTTGGACCCAGCACTTGGAATTGAAACCTATGCCCTCTCTACTGAAAGAAACTATTACGCAAATACACTCGAATACACCACAGGGTTACCTCTTGGGAAAACCTCAAGGCCAGAGGGTGCAAAGGACACCCCTCCTACTTGGGGCTTCAAAGCACCCACCGAGGGGGCGCCTGGGTGGCTCAGTTGGTTAAGCGTCCGACTTTGGCTCAGGTCATGATCTCGCAATTTGTGGGTTCAAGCCCCACATCAGGCTCTGTGCTGACAGCTTGCTCAGAGCCTGGAGGCTGCTCCAGATTCTGTCTCCCTTTCTCTCTGCCCCTCCCCCACTCACACTCTGTCTCCGTCTCTCAGAAATAAACATTAAAAAAAAAAAAAAAGCGGGGCGCCTGGGTGGCTCAGTCGGTTGAGCGTCCGACTTCAGCTCAGGTCACCATCTCACGGTCCGTGAGTTTGAGCCCCGCATTGAGCTCTGGGCTGATGGCTCAGAGCCTGGAGCCTGCTTCCAATTCTGTGTCTCCCTCTCTCTCTGCCCCTCCCCCATTCATGCTCTGTCTCTCTCGGTCTCAAAACTAAATAAACGTTAAAAAAAAAAAAAAAAAAAAGCAGCCGCTGAGGACAGAGGAGCTGCCTCGTCCTCCACCCTGCACCCTCATCTAGTCCCCCCCACTCCCCACCCCGCACAAGGCAACTTCATGGATACCAGTTTAGCTCCTCTTCTGCCATATTTGCTTAACTATAGCTTCGTTTTAAAGCACTGACCCCTTTAGAAAACCTGTATGTAGTCCCAGCCTGAAATAAAGGGATCTGACCACCCAATTTCCAGCCTCCAAACCAAATGGGACAAATCCGGGCGCCTCAGGGAGAAGAGAACTGGCACCAAAAGGAGCAGGTCACAGAGCTCCCATCCCTTCTCTGCCCGGGTCAGAGCGCAGGGGGAGAATGTGTCCCACTGACTGCAGGAGTCAGACATCAGCGACCCTAGGCAAGGGTGGTGGCGTCTGCGCCCTGAAGTGTTCCCCCAGCCCTTCCACTGTATTTTCTAGTTCTTCTCAATCATCTGGCTGCCCACATTCCAGCCCAGCTGACGCTCCACTCCCTCCCCTCTCCTGCCACAGAGCAAGCCCTGGATAAAGGGACACTGCTGTTCGCCGGTTCGCGGGAGGGCCAGACCTCACTGCTCTCATGTCTGGTCGAAGCAAGCAATTGACAGATGGCAGAGACGAGGTGGCGGCCAAGCTCCACCAGCAGTCATTAAGCCAAGCCAGGCTCCACGTCGTGTCCAGCCAGGCGGCCACATCCCCAGGGATGGCCTCAACTGGCCTTTGTGTAGGGCAGCCAGAGTGAGACCTGGTCTGACCAGAGCCTCACAGAAGCGGGTTTGTGTGGCAGAGAACAGGTCTGCCACCGTCTGTCGCCTCCAGGCACTGGGGACTTTGGAGGCCTCAACACAGCAGCTGCCCTGCCCCAGTGCGGGACAACCCTGGCCGCTAAGCAGCCGACCAGCACCCAGTGGGTGCAGAGCACTGGACAGAAGCACCAAGAAGGGAAGGACGTTGGGTCTCCTGTTCTCCACAGCCTTTTCTCCAAGCCCGGCTGTGGCATTGAGGCACCAGGGTGGGTTGCTTTTTACAAATGCAGATTCCCCTACTGAATTGGCATCCACGAGGGCGGGGCCCAGGAATCTATTTTTAATAAGTGTCCTGGATTAGCCTGGCATACACTAAAATCTTAGAAACACTGTTCTGGGCTCCTGGAAACACACTGGGCATTCAGGCCGAAAGCACATCACAGAATTTACCAAGGAGGTATAAGCAATCTCAAGACGACACAGTGTAAATCAGAGGAAGCTCAGATGCCCTGCTTTACCCCCTGGGATCCGCCAGGGAGCCAAGGGAACGGGCAGTGGCACCACCTCCTCGTCATCGCTCTTTGGGGCTTCCATAAACTTTCCAGCTGCTGGCATCTTTTCACGTTCCTTTTCATTTCTCCCTCATCTGCCCCTTTTGCAAACCACATGGAGGGATAGGGAAAAGTACCGTGGGAGGCCTCACGTCCATCTCTAACCTTGCCAAGATCCCCATGGAATGGGGACTGTTTCCCTCATTTTATAAATGAGGAAACTGAGGCTCAGAGAAGATAAATGTGAACCACTTGACCACTGAGCCCCCCCCCGGTTGCTGCACCCAAACCTTTGGAGCCACGTGGCTGATGAATGTGTCATTTCGAAACACGGGCCCCCAATTCTCAGTCCAAGAGGAGGTCACTTACTTGTAGGTTTTGGACCTATCCAGCCAGATGCCTGAGATCACAGCCCCAAGCATTCCTGCAATGACGATGGTCAGGCCGATTCTTCCAGCATTCACTTCTTCCCCCTGGGAAAACCACAGCCCCAACAATCACCCAGCAATGGGATGAGACATCAGACAGAGCACAGTCACCATGAGGTGAAGGGGCAAGGGCAAGCAACTCTCTCAGCAGGGTGAGATGGCCTTTAAGAAGCTGCCGGTGGGGAGAGAATCCCAGAATAGTTGCTCCTTCCAACCGAATATAACCCTGCATGTGTGTGCATGATCCTGGATGCTGAGGTGAACCAAACTGTCCTTACACCTACTTTGCAGCAGATTTTTAACCATTTAATCCTTACAGCAATCCTTTTATCTTATTTATCATTATTCCCATTTCACAGATGGGGACACTAAAATACATATATATTCAAATATTCCATACTTAGTTTTTTTGAGCCCTCAGTGCCAAAAGGAATAGGAAGATAGCAGTTATATAATCTCATTTACTTCTGAAAATTCCCACCATAACGTTAGGAATCACTATTCCCCACTTTACAGATGAAAAAAGCCAAGGCACAGTGAGATTCACCTACTTAGTCCAAGGTCATGAGACATTTATTAAGTGCAGAGCTAGGATCTGAATTCAGACCTGTCAGACCCCAAAACAGGAACACTTTAGCCACAGTGGCCTCCCACGTCTGCAAGTGTGAGGCCTTTGTCCTTTCAAAAGAGGGCTGGGCTCTAGGACACTCTATCCCATTCCCAGGATCCAGCCCTTGCTTTTTCTGGCAACATTTAGGAAATGATTTCAGATGAGCAACTCCCAATTTTACAAATTAAATATTTCATATGTGATCTATATGTATGTATGTTTACCTACTATATTGCCAGGCACCATGCCATGTGCTTTACATACATATAATAGATATGAACGTATATATGAACACACACACACGTGCGCGCGCGCACGCGGTATTATTTACTTTCTAATCCTACAAATACTCTTTCAATAAGCGATTATGTTTCTTTTGTAGAGAGGAGAAGGAGAGCTCAGAGAGGCTAACCAGCTTGTCACACAATTTAGTGCCACCACAGCGAGGGATGAGACCCAGGGCTGTCTCTCTCCAAATCCCATAAGCATACCACCGTACCATGCTGCCTGGAACTGGGGGAAACTCGGGTTAACCACCGCCCCAGCTCCTGCCGAGCCGGACAGAAATCTCACTCTCTACAGATCCAGCATACTGAGGGAACTCCCTTACCGGGTAGTGCAAGATCACCATGCGATTCAGCAGAGTTGACAAGGCATAAAAAGCACCAGCATTCAGACCTGAAAGAGGGAGGGAGAAACAATATTAGGGACAGCCTTCCGCCGGGGCCGGGGCTAACTTCTCCCTCCAGCAGTTAAGGAGGTCAGAAATTCTTACCCCTGTTGCCTTTGTGACTGGTATCCTCAGAAAGTATAAGGCTACTCTGCAGTTTCTGTCAAAGAAATACTCCAAAGCAACCAAAAGTAACCATTTAGACCATTTCTTAGCCACACGCCACTGCCCTCGGATCCTTTTAACCCTGGCCTGGAGACACAGGCTCTAGAAAGCATTACTCCCAAGCCAGAGCAGAATACATTCCTCTTAAGCACTGACCTATTGACCTGTGGGATCATCAGAACCACTGGACATCTTCATCTCTCTTGATGACCTGTCCCGTCTCCAGATTGCTCCAGACCTTTGATCCCTGACGCCACTCTTTCCGCAGGTGCTTTCTCTCTTTCCCCATTCCTCCTTCAACTTTCTTCTTGGATTCAACGTCACACAAAATCTTATGTTTGAAACCAGAAAGGGCCCTACAGAGCACTTAGCTGACTCTCCTAATTCATCGATTCACCCAACAAATAAATGAAACACCTGGAATATAATGTAAGAATCCGTGTCCTTGAAGCATGAGGCCGTTTGTCCAAATCTATACAATGAGTTAGTAGCTAAGAAGCGACTGGAACTGACCCAAAGGAGAAAGGGCCTCCTGCCCTCCCTTCATATAACAACAATGACGGTGATGACGACGGTGACGAGGACGGTGAGGAGGACGGTGAGGATGGTGATGGGAGGAGGAGAAGGATGGTGAGGAGACAGTGAGGAGGAGAATGGCAGGAGCACACCATTCTCAATACCTTACAATCCTCATGCCAAGGTAGGTAATGTTCTCATCCCCATTTTATAGATGAGAAAAATGCACACAGAGTTTCAAAACAAATACGGAAATCACTTTATAATACCCACCAGGAATCTTTTTAATTGTAACTACTTCTGAGGCTCACAAGACTCTCACACTTAACATAAGATACACTTAGAAGAGTGGAAGTAACAGGACACAGCTCATGGGGAGGGGGCAGCCTCAGGAGGTTCCTCTTCAATGGAACCAGTCTATAGAACACCAGACCATGGAGCCGTCCATAAGCATACCTTCTAGGGCCCCACAGAGGACAGGCCAGTGGCAAGAGTCACCATGCTCAGAGTGGCACAAAGAAGGCCTCCGATCAAATATGACTACCTCCAGATAGTCATTTTTTAAATGTTTATTTACTTTTTTTTTTTAATTTTTTTTTTCAACGTTTATTTATTTTTGGGACAGAGAGAGACAGAGCATGAACGGGGG